GATTTTGGCATTCCTTTCTTCCCATACTGTCCATAACAATGCTGCTCGTGAGCATCTCCACATTTTCCTTCCTCTTTTATGGGGCCAAGAGAAGAAAGAAGGGTTAAAGATTGTGCTTACTTCTGYTGGCATATCCCAACTAGACCCAAAYAAAGATAGAAGCCAAGCCTAGAGCTCTGCAGTGACACTTCAAGATAAAAATAGATGATTACAATCCTCACCATGAGATCTGCAAAGAATACACCAGTTTGGTGAAATACAAAGGACGAGTCTTCTCTTTTGTAGGTTGTCCATCGTGTTACTTTACCATGTCACACTTCCCAGCACAAAGCCATAACCTTGTGGGGGATCAGCCTACACCCAACTTCTTTGGAAGGGAAACTCTGATGAGAGGGAGATTAGCAGAGGAACTTGAAAAAGGACCACAAGAAAAAGACCCTTTGGGGTGAATGGCCCAAATCCTTTTATCGGGTTTCGAGGGATCCAACCAAACCTTATCAAGGAGACACAGAAGAGTAGACAAACACTCAATTTCCTCATCCCTTAATCCTCTACGAAAACCAAAATCTCAAGACAAAGCTGGTAAAAATAAATTCAATGGAAGGAATTTTGAGATCACCTCATTTTTATACAAAGAAACAGAGTACAACAAAGGAAAAAGGTCTTTCAAAGGGAGATCTCCAACCCAAATGTCCTCCCAAAACCGAATAGAATTACCTGAACTAGCATCATACCTGACACAGCTAAGGAACTGCGGAAGAATTTTGTGAATTGCTTTCCAAGGTGTGGCTAGGTTAGCCCTCATTGATGCACTAGCATCCCAACCACCCTAATCCTCCCTCCTCTTTGCTTCTACTCACAACCCCCCACTTAATTAAATGGTCTCTTTTACCTTCTCTCGGTTCCCACAGAAAATCTCTCATCAAWTTTTCCAWCTTCTTCRCTTCCCTAGAYRRTAYCCTAAAGACARAGAGATAATAGGTAGGTAGATTCATGAGGGTAGCTTTTATCAAAGTGATCCTCCCACCCAAAGAGATATAATTTTTCTTCCACACAGCTAGTCTCTTTTCTAACTTCTCAAAGACTGGGGTCCAGAACCTACTCTCCCTAGGGTTTGCTCCCAACAGAAGCCCTAAGTAAGACAAAGGCCAGGAGGAAATGGAGCACTCAAGACAGCCTACAATCGCCTCAACCTCCTCAAAAACTAAATTTGCTCCAGCTATGCAGCTTTTTCCTAGATTGATTTTCAAATTAGAGACTCCTTGAAAAACTGTAATCAATTCTTTCGAATTTTCCACCTTCTCACCAAAACCTCCCTCACAGAAGATCATCAAATCATCTACAAACTGAAGGTGAGTGACTAGAATTCGGTCTGTGCCTACTCTCCAACCCCTTATCACATTTTCCCTATCAACCCTAGTGATAATTTGACTAAACACATCAGCTACCAAGGTAAAGWGGAAGGGTGAAAGTGGGTCCCCTTGTCTGATTCCCCCTACTAGCTGGAAAAAATCCCTCACCACCCCGTTTGCTAAGATGGAATAGTGACAAGAGCTAACACAACCAGTCATCCAACTACACCATCTTTCCCCAAACCCACACTTCCTCAAAACCTCTAGTAGGAACTGTCAGCCCACCAAATCATAGGCTTTCTCCAGATCAAGATTACAAACAAAGCCTCTCTGCTTGGACCTCTTCATCTCTTCCACACATTCATTGGCAATCAGAATCTGATCAATTATCTGACGCCCTTGGATGAAAGCCCCTTGAACCTGACTAATAATGGAGGGGAGGATTGCTTTAATCCTTAAAGACAAGACCTTGTTGAATCAAACTCTTTGCCATGCATTGGATTCTAACTCTTGTCTTTGTGTCTATGCAAAAATGTTTCCAACCACTTTAGAACTCAGACACTATAATTCCTGAACCCTAATAACTCATTAGTAATCTTACTAAAACTAATTTACTGTAAAAAATACTAAAAATAGTACATCAGAATTTCAATATAAATAGCAATTATAGGAATTACTACAAATAGTCCAAAAGTTGCCATAAATAGTAAGTTCATTTTTACTATGAACAATGAATTTCTGGAAGACTAAAACCTAACCTATTCTTAAAACACCAACAATGAAAGGTCTCTCTAAAGAAGGCAAGGTTATTTGGGGAGTAGGACCAGTTTTATGGTTTGGACAATATGGACAGAAAGAAGCAAAAGACTGTTTGAAAATAAGTTTGTTACAGAGGAAAATTTATGTAAAGGTTTTTGGGATAGGATGTACTCATGGGTAGGAACACATAGACAATTCAGGAATAGACCATATAGCTCATTTTGTAATTCTGAAGCTCTTTTTTACACAGGGTATACAGTTTAGAAGATGTACACTTGTTGATTGGACACTGCACAGCTCCTTGTTGTGCAGATCTGGTTTTCTCTGTCTAATATATTACTTTACCTTTCTCTCAAAGAAAAAAAAAATATAGATAATAAATTTAAAAACCCAAAAATGCCAAAGCCACATCACCCAGAAATTCTGATATTGGTTGAGAAATAGGAAGAAAACTGATCTAGTTCTCTGTTGATTCTTCCCTTGCTTCCTATCTACACCACCAAAAGACCTTTAATTCCATTGCATAATCCCCATTACCAGTAATTACATCAACTATCCACCCCCATTCCCCAGTTTGTATTCACATTCCTTTTTGTGCCTGCTCTTATTTTTTTTATCAATAACCATGGTGTTTATTGATAAAATAGTCAGTGATAGATAAACCCTCATATTTCTCCCAAAAATATCCTATTTTTTTCTTACAGCTGAATTTCAATAACACACACAAAGTTCAATAATGTAACATACAGAACTTCTTAAAAAATGAATGAATCAAACACAGGCATTGTATATCAAGAATTGAAGCTAGATTTCAGCCCTAATTTGTTCAACTACAGAAATCATATTCTATGCAAATTAAAGACTCACTACTAACGACCATGAGTTCTCCATAAAAAGTGTCAGAACGGGAAAAAAAATCAAGCATCTGAAAGGAGATTCTAAGTGGAAAAAGAAACTAACCTGAAAAATACCATCTGGAAACATCACACCTTCTGCTACTATTACAGTGTTTTCAACAAATAGCCCTGTTGTTATTTTGTATGACAAGTCAAAGAAAATAATAGTTTCATTTCTCAACTTCAAAACAGGAAGAGCTATCAGAGATGGAAACAATTAATGCATCCAATTAAACGGCTATACCTAAATATACTTTCAAAAGAAATAGTAGTACCTCAGTTTCAATAAAAGCTTTAACCTTTTTTATCAAAAACAGAATAAAAACTTTAACCTCAACCACACTGTGAACATAACTACAGAATAAACAGCAAGCATTGTTTAAAAACAATAGAAAAATACAAATATATGGAACAAAGTTTGAAATTGGGCTAATCTAAGACAAACATTCTTTTCTATAACTGTACCAACAAATCATACAATCTTGTCTGAGAATGGTTGAAGTTAGACAAGCATTCTTTTGTACTAAAAAATCACAAATTACAGAATTTCAGTTTGAGAAAGAGATATTTCACCGGATATCTCCTATGCTTGTTACCTATACAGCTACTGAACTACACTTCACTAAACGATCAACCCGTGGTTGTGCAGGACTTGTTCTAAACTTAGTTACTCTCACATGTATGGGCTTTTACATACATACAATGGAACACTATTACATACTCATTGATTAGTGTAGGAAGTGTAGGAGAAAAGGCTAGGGGATCCAGAATCCAATATGAAAAGGTAAACAACAAGAGCATTCTCAAGCTGACAATTACATGAAAAAAAAAACAACACAAAACAATAGTGTAGGAAATCCAGACACCAATATGAAAACGTTTTCGCCAGTATACAAGCATTTGAACCAAAAAATAATAAATAAATACAAAAGAAATTGTGAGAAGGATATTGCATTGGACAAATTAACTTCCACTGATGCAGTTAAATCTTCCAAGTAGAAATGGCCATCTTCCAATTGAGATATTACACCCATAATCCATTTTCTACCAGTTTTCCCAATCAAAGACTGAATTGGAGATATCTGCAGCCAAGATAATTCAAAAATGGTCCATTACAACTATGCTTTCACAATAACAGCATACCATAACCATTAACCAAATGTCATGAAAAATATAAAAAGAAAGAAAGAAGGTCCATACTTCACAACTTCCTGTCTCTGTCATTTCAGTATCAAATGCAGGTCTTGAGAAATGCCGATCACGAGAAATCCTTTGGAGCAACAACTGAAATCTATCCCTGTATAGGGCAGCTTTTGCAGAAGCATCACCATGTATTGGTAGCTTTCCTGTGTGCCTAAAATAAGAAGAATTACATAACAACAGGCATCCAGATAGGCTTTTGGCAACAATATTCTCAAAAATGTATGTATTTTTCTCTTATTTCTGTTTCCCTGAGCAGAACACTCATATTTTTGGCCAACTCTACTGCTAAAAAACATTGAACTAAAGGACTTACTCGTAAAAGACCTTTTTGATGGGATCATAGCAAAACTTGGGGACAATGAAAGCATCTATTACGCGAAGTGCAGATCGACTACTGGAACTGGGGTTCTCCTCTGCTGCGGCTTCGGCTTCCAATAAAAGGTTTACAACCCGTTGCACGGGCTCCTTATCCAGAATGGACGATTTAACTGACAATTTTTCGCAACAATAGAATAACGAAGGTCAGGACTCAGGAAATCAAACGAAAACCATTTAAAGGAAGGGAAAATGCAGAGATTGAATGTTTTAAGGAAGAGGTCAAGTGTGACTTACGGGATTCCCTCTCGATTTCGTCGATGAGGAGGTCGATGGCTTCGTCTTCAGCATCTTCGAAACGGCTCAAGAAAGAGAGAATCTCCTCTAGGGCGTCGATTTTCAGGGTATAGCCTCTAATCTTGAATTTCCTTTGGACCTTCTTCCTCGTTCCTGCTCCCATTTTCTTCGCCCTGCTTACTCTCTCTCTCTCTCTCTCTCTCTCTCTGACTCTCTCTGCAAACGGCGGGAAATAATTGAAGGATTTGTTGGAGATGGCGGGAAAAAAGGGGTTATAAAGTTATGATAGATACATTCTCAAGGTTCGGAATCCGGAGCCTGAAATATTTTCGCCCGCAGTGGTGAGAGAAGACGATGGGATCGGGTCCGTTTTGGGACTGGGGTTGGCAAATGGGTGGAATTGGGTTGAGTATCAATCCACCCATATTGTCCCACTAAAACCTTTTACTAATATTGTCCTGTTTGAGAAGACTTAAAAAGTAATTCTTTTAACACATGCGACTACACTTTTTAAATATTTATAGGTGTTTGGTAAAAAGTAGAGAAAAAGTATTATTTTTAAAGAAGCATTTCTTTGAAAAAATAATTTTAAATTAGCTTTTTTTTAAGTACTCCAAAAAAATTAGGACAAACCAATTCCCACCAAATTTTTACAATGACAAAAATGCCCTCGCGAGGTTTATACACCCTTCCCCACCCTCATCCATTCAGTCAAACCTCACACCCTAGCAGCGGGCGCACCGGTTGCAGTCTCACCGGCGACGATTGGCGGTGAAGAACAGTGGCCAGCGATGAGGTGCCATTTCGACCAAACCTCGGCGATGCAGATGAGCAAAACCGCCTTCATTAGAAGCACACGTAACGCCATTTTTGGTGACCCAAAAGCAACATGAATAAAAGCTGAAGCACACTCTCAAAAGTCATCATCTTGCTATCCCTTCCTCTGCTAAAATTAATTTACTCAAAAAATTGATTCTGGTGACTAATGGAATGGACAATACGTTGATCACTATATGCTCAATGAGCGAAAAACATTGTCCACCGTCTTCCTCTAGCCGCAATGAATGGAGCACCACAGCATGCTCAATGACCGAAAAACGTTGTCCACCTTCTTCCTCTAGCCGCAGTGAACGGAGCACCACAGCACCGAATCAAAGTAGCAGTGGTAGCTCTGCCCCATCTACCTTTCCCTCTCTCTCCTCTTCTTCTCCTTCTCCTTCTTCTTCCCTTAGTTGTTGCAACACACAAACTGCAACTGAAATCCCCAAGTCATGGTTTATCTTCTTATCCTTCTTCTTCTTTCCCCTTCATATTCTTCTTCTCTACTTCTCTCTTCTCTCCTCCCCTATTCCGCTATAACCAGAATAAACTCAAACTTTCTATATACAAACGAGAAGGTGAGGAGAGTTCGACCTGAATTGGGAACCACGACCGAGTTCGAGTTGATCACTGGCGTGCTCCAAAGTTATTCCAATAGAGTGGGTTTGCTAGAGAAAAGGAGATCGGTAGAAGGGTATTCATTTGGTTGGTTCTCTAGTTATTATTATTATTATTATTAATTGGATCCACGTGGGGTTTACATGGGCTCTCAATTGAAATGTATAATATAACATGTAAAATCATAGTATATATGTATGAGTGAAGTGAGAGATAAAATTGTCATTTGAACGAATATAAGCACTTATGGGAAAAGTAGTTATCAAACATTCCCACTCCAATAAGAACTTAAAAACATAATAAGTAATTTGAAAAGTGGGTTACCAAACGGCCTAAAGGATTGTTAAAATAAGTACTTATAAGAAGTACTATTGAAACAAGTACTTCTTTTAAGAAGTACTTAATCATCAAACAGGGCCTAAACCCATTGCCATTTGCCACCTATGTTAGTAGATCAAAGAGGGTCGCAACCCACTTTGACTCTCACCCACGCCACGCATATGACTTAATTCGAATTAGCTCCTTCATAACATAAAATGTTCAAAATTTTAAAAGAAAAAAAAAATGCATAAAAACACAAAAAGTAAATTTTGTGTAAAACTTCAAAATTTGCACAAAAAAATATAGAAAATACTAAAGAATTTTAAATATAAATATAAAACACAAATAATTATCAAAAAAATATAAAATAGAAATTGTAGAAAATAGAAAATTTCTGGAAAAATACAAGAAAATGTAGAAAAAAAAAACATAAAAATAATAAAAATAAATAAAATTATAAAGGGCAAATTTCTTAAACTACCCTTATGGTTTAGCTAATTGACTAACTCTACCATTACTATTTACATATTGTCTTAAAGTACCCTCTTACTATTTCTAACAATTAACACCGTAGGTAAGTGCTAAGGGAAAGAAATGAAATGCCAAATTAACCCTCCACTATTCTTCAAATTTTCAAAATAAAGCCCAACTGATGAAAAGATCATCTAATAAACCATCTCACTCTGCAACACCACATGGATGGAGCAATTCATGTGATATCAATGCCTTCCAAGCTAAAGCAAACGTCAAAAATTTCTACGGATGCCAGTCAGTGAGTCATGGGCACCTAGCCAAACGAGCTGAAATCTACAATTTCAGCTCTTGAAACACCACTCTTTCGAACCATTTGAAGGACCAAAGGTTATGCTTCTAAAATTTGCCTACTCCTGACCAAAATGCGAATCATCGCATTCAATGAGTACAAAGAATGTCTAAAAGTCGAAATTGTCCCTAGAGAATCTATAAATTCCTAACCCAAGACAATGATCTATGGATTCAAACGACAAGACAAATAGTGTAAGGAATTGAAGTTTTCTTGTTTCGAGTTTAGCAAAACTTTTTCTACAATGAAGATATCCAAGGTACATGCAGGTAAATCCTTTGGGACTTCAGATCTGGGTGGAGGTGGAGGATTTCCAATTGAAGAACCCTATGTCAACCCTTTGTCAATGTTTCAAGGATCATCTTTCAACTACAAAAAATAAAATAAATAAACAAAACAAAATAAAACAAAAACAGATTAATAAACATTTGGGACTTCAAATCTGGGTGGAGGTGAAGGATTTCCAATTGAAGACCCCTTTGTTAGTGTTTCAGGAACCATCTTTTGATTGCAAAAGAATATATTAATAAACCTAATGAGCTTTGCGACTTCAGATTTGGGCAGAGATTTGGTTAGGTTTCAGCAACTCTAGGGTTAGGTGTTGACATAAAAGCGAAATAGTGGGAGTGGCAGGAGTGCCTCAAGCAAGGAGCTATCATCCTCTTGATGGTTTGGAATGAGAAACATGGAAAAATAATAGCGGTGATGGGGGAAAGAGTAGCTGAAAACCGGCAAGATGTATGCCGAAGATAGGTGAGAACACTAAGAAAGTATTAAGAAGACAATGAATAGTGACTGAACAAAGGGGGAAGAAGAATGGAGGGTAAATGGAAGAGAAAGAATGGCGGCAAGGATGATAAAATGGATAGAAAACATATGGAAGGGAAGAGAGTTCTAATCGCCGTTGTTGTGCTTTCGTTTCAATATTGAAGATGATGAACAGTAAGTTCAGCCCATTAGATGTTATCACTTGAACGAACGTAGAATTTCGAACTCGTTCTGGACACCTAATCGAGAGATGGAGACGGAAGGAGAGAGAACAGGGGTTGAGGTCAAAGAGGGTCACACGTAAGAGTGAAGATATGGAATAGTAAGGGTATTTTAGGAATTTTAAAAAATCACTAGTCATGTGATGTCAAATGTAAACGGAGTGTGACGGAAAGTTAATGGTAAGGGAGGTTTTAGATAATTGTTAGAAACAGTAGGGGTACTTTAAGACAATATGTAAGTAGTAAGGGTAGAGTTAGTCAATTAGCTAAACCATAAGAGCATTTTAAGAAATTTTCCCAATTATAAACATAGGAAATTTAAAATAAAATTTTTATTTTATTTAATAAAAAATAAATAAAATAAAAAGCATTGAAATTTTCAAAAAAAAAATATAGAAAATTTGCAAGAAATCATAGGAAAATTCAAAAAAGTGCAAAAAAGTTGTTGGATAAAATAGAAATTATAGATGTTTTGCAAAGGAAAATTATAGCCAAATAAATAATAGAAATCGCAAAAACACAGAAAATACTCAAAATGCATATATTTTAGCCAAAAATATAAAATGATTAAAAATAAAAAATACATATTTCAAAAAAAAGCATAACACAAAAAGATATATGAGGATGTCAGAAATGTGCTAAGTCCCTACTAGAAATGACAACTTAGAGCTCGACGAGTGAGGTCAGTAGCTGAATCTGCAAGACATACAACGTTAGAGGGCCCGGGGGGATAACTTGGGCAAGGGACACCAACGGTTAAATGAGTATCGAGTTGGCAAGGTGAAAGAGAGGAAACAAGCAGGAAATCAAAGCAATTGTGTGAGACAAATAGTGAGTGTACCTTGTGAGGGTGAAGGCACACCCTTATATAGACCTTGAGACTTGGTAGAGACGTGTCCTATATGTTCGAGTTGTGGGAGCTTATCTATCCATGGCCTTCAGGATACCCTCGTGTGGTGTCGTGGTTATCCTTATCCACTCCTTGCAAAGTGAAGGGAAACGGGTTTGTCATCGCCAGGTGGGTGTTGTAATGGCATAAGTCTCAAAGTCACTACCCATCGTGGGTGGATAGGAGGGAGGATGTGCCATGTAGGTCAAAGTGGTTCACCAAGTCGTGGTTAGTCTAGGTCAGACAATAGGTTGGAGATGCAGAGTGGTTGGAGTCCAACCCTAGAGCGGTTGGACATGCAGAGCGGTCATACACGAAAATTAGTTGTTGTGAGTGCCAAAAAATACACTAAACTGATTTTGGACCTCAAAAGACAAAACACCGCACCCATTTGGACTGTCGGATTGAACAGATCTCAATCGTTGGCAATTTGGGGTTCTCGGACTTTCTTTCTTTCTAATTATGTCGAGCTCCAAGTCTAAGGGAGAGGAGCGGATAGCCATCCCAACCGGTTAGGGGTCCGTAGTTTAGGACCGTTGAGGTTCCCATAAAGAGACCTTAATTTCTAGGAAAAAGAAGTCCGAGTTCAGCCCAACTTGACTGACCCCTGCCGATCTTTGATGCATTATGGAATGATACCATATTTCTAAGGAGTTTGAAGTCCTTCTCCCAAGTTCCGATTTGCGTCCCTGGAACCACGATGGAGACGAGGTTTGCGTCTTCGAGCAAGCCTTGGTACCAGTGATTAGATTTCCCCTTCATCTTTTCTCCCCAATGTCAGCACCCAATTTTTGCTCGGTCCTCCATTTGAGCCCCAAACTCACCATTGAACACCTGTTCAGACCATTTTGATCCTTTTGAAACACAGAGAACCTAAACCTCAGCCCCCAAATCCTCAAAATTCATCATTAAAAGCCTTAGTTCCAAATTCCCAAAATACTCCTCTTGCCAAATTCCCAAAATTCCCCTAATCCAAAATTACCAAAATACCCCTCAAACCAAACTCCTAAAATGCCTCATCCCAAATTACC